TGGGAGCTCCTTGGGGACGGTCCCATTGGGAGACAGTTCCCTACTGGACTCATGGCCAGCACCACTGCAATCGCCCCGTGCTTCGCTCAAGCTGCCGGGTGCGGTTGTGGTGATGAACGTACTGTAATACCCCGCTTCTTGGAGAACCTCCCTTAAAACTGAAGCTTCGCCACGTGCGGCAGCAAATTCAGCTTGCGAGGCACTGAGATCCAATTTCAAAATTGGATTCACGTTCTCATGGTTTTTTATGCGTTCCAACGCCTGCACTTTGTGACTCTCCCTTTGTCAACTGTGGTGTTGCCATCTAGTGCCCAGGACCCGTCACGGATATCAATTCTAATCGTCCACCAGCGCGGTCGCGTTCAGCTTTTGAGATTACGAGTGAGAAAAGGCAACACAAACCACCCGCCCAATTACGTGTATTTCACAAGGACTTGCAGAGAAGATGAAGTGCTCTTGTATCACATGTCCAGGTTAAGATTCTCTACCCGGTGCCCCTCAGCTATTTAGAACATGTCCTGGCATTGCTTTTTCTTCAAAATATAAATTTACTTTTGTTGGTCATTACTTTGGATTGAAGGTGAGGTAAATGGAAGAGATACCAATACTGGTTAAAATTTTCTCCTATTTAATACCTTAATATGCTTAGGGGAAATTGAATAGCTTTAGCTATTATTCGTACCCACACCATACATCCTTTAGGTACTCTTTAAAGAGCATCTATGTCTGGCCAAATTTCAGCATTTCTTCCAAAAGTGATTTCAGTGAGCCTTTTTTTTTTTTTTCCCCCTTCTGGAGCAGTATACTACAGACTTTGGAAGGAGTAAACCTTTAGTCGGTTGGAAAAGTAAATTGCATGAACGCAGCAGCTGCATGAAATAATTCAGAACAATCAGTATGACACAGCCATTCTCAGGGTGTGGTGACATCCCATAACTTAGATCTACTATGCTGAAAATAAGTTGGTACTTTCCCACCTGTGATATCAATGTTTTTCAAAAAACCCACTGCTGTTTAACTTGTGAGACACTGTAAGACTTGCAACTGGAATCTGGTCTACAGAACGCTAAAATCTGTAGTTTCCACCTCCTTACCTTACCTCAGTAGCCCAAATCTCCCCAGTTTTAAGGATCTATTGTCTATGTGCTGTACTGTGGGGATTGAACCGTCTTATCATTCTATTTGTAATGCTTTTCTGGCAGAATACTTTGTTTTCCCTGGCAGTAAAAAAACATCAAGTTTTCTTAGCCTTGCTTTAAGCTCCTCCCCCTGTAAACAAATCTCACATTTTTTGCCACTTTAGGTCACACTTGTTACAGATTTCTTACGTATCTTGCATACAATTCAACACTCTTCTGACTAAAAAACAGCAATGATTCGAGCCCCTTTTTCCAAAAAGAAACTTGCCGTTTCAGATTGCAAGACAAATAAGAAAAGGCAGTGCCATGCATGTTCCTGGTGCGACTGGAAGTGGTTAGTTCCCCTCAGCTTTTCTGAGACTTGCAGTGTGTGAGGGCAGCACAGGAGGTTGGAAGCCACATGAAGGACTTCTTGGGGACACTGAGAAACACATAATTCATCAAGAAGAAACCACCTCTGTGAATCACCAGTGCTTGCTCACCACCGTGGAAAAAAATCAGACAGACACATTTGTGCTACTGCAGTGCTCACCAGAATCCACGGATGTCCCACAGAAGGGCCTTGTTCTTGGGAGAGTAGGAAATTACACAGAGAATGTGCCTGGAAAATGCTACAGTAAACACTAGGCAAATTCACCTACCTACTGTTTTTGAGGGGGGAACCACAAACCCTTGCAACCCCTCAGACAAGCAGTTCAGCAGTGAAGGCTTTCATGTTTTTCCACTAAAAGCCACCTGTCACCCCGTGCAGGCTGCCCATCGTACCACAAGCTCAGATGGACGAATGGTCTGGGAAGCCTGATAAAAGGAGAGAGGGGTTCCCAGTTATGGCTCTTTCACACCATAACCTAAACTGAGGAAAAAAACCCTGCTGGAGAACACAGCCTGTTCCGGTAGCCGTAGGATATTTATTGAGGAATAATGAGTTTACACAGCAGACCCATGTCAGCCTTTCCCCCCCGGCTGCTGGGGCAGCCTGAAGCCCACCAGCCCGGCGACCTCCTCGGGCGAGCGCTCGCCCCTGCCGTGGTACTCGCGGTGCAGGGCCTCGTGCTCGCGGACACTGCGGAGCAGGCACAGGTAGGTGGCGGCCTGGAAGTGCAGCTCCTGCTGGGCCCGGCACAGCTTCTCGCTG